GATTACTTAGTTAATTAGTTTCGCGATTATACGTTGGCTCGTGAAAGAAGCGCTATTAAGTTCACTGCTGGTAACGACGTCGACGATATATTCTAGAATTCTATGTCCTTTTTTAGCCCGAGGGAATTAATTCTCTAGATGTATAAACAATTCTATGCTGCAAATGTTATGGTTGAGTTTAAAAAATATATGATATTCGCGTAGTTTTGTTTCTGTAAATTTTGAAATTTAAAACACAAAGTTGGATTAGAAAAGAATCTAAGATAGTTAAAAGACAAAGGAACAAATACAGTGATAAATAAATAATAAACTCAATCAATCGCGCCATTTCACATTGGCAATGAAGACTATTATGCATAAAATTATTTAATTAGGAAAGCTTAATATAAATAATTCGGCTGAAAATATTTAATGTTATCACATTTTTAGAGGAATGTATATTGAATATTTTATCAATTAATATGCTTGTATACTATGCTTTTGTGTATTGTTTAGATCTTTTCATGTGTAATATTTTTTATAGAGTAGAAACAGAGTACATGTCTATTGCATTTGATAAAAGATTTCATCAAATAATAATAAATTTAATAATAATAAATTTTCTAACCTGTTACTATGACTAATACTGTCATGGATATCTCGTTCCCGTCAGCTACTCCCATAAAACAAGTCCATTGTCCATAATCAGAATCCATGGCTGCTGAAATTTCTGCTTTACATTCACCGTATGTGAATCCATCACTTTGATAGTGTAAGACAGATGATGACACAGCTTCGTTATTTCGTGCGACGAGATAAGAAGTTCCATCCGGACTTCGCAGCCAGCAATACTTCAGTACAGAATTGGCAATGCACTTTATCTAATAAATGACAATTATGTTTCCAAGGTTGCTTGTGAAATAGTCAGATTCAGGATTTTGATAATACATTATTTTACTAAACAGGTAGTATTATAATACGTAAAATAGTATATTAATTGTTAATATACATTTAAATTACCATTAACATATTAACATAAAAAATAAGATTAAACATTTATTATCTAATAAATATATACGAAATATATAAGTAATCTGATCAATTATCTTATCAAATTTACATTAAAAATCTAAATTAAGATAGCTGATATATTAATAAATAAATCCTATATAAAGCAAAATCTCTTTTTTGATCTTTAATATTTGCCAAAATAATTTTCTATGTCGCTTGCATTATGAGATTCGTTTTAAATTTATGCTTTATGTTTATGCTCTACGTTTAAGTAAATTTACCGTAAACGGATCGTCACGCTTTACATGCACAATGTCCGTTTTGTTTTTAGGATCAATATTTCCGCGAGAATCGGGATAGTCAACGTAAAGCATGGATCCATACAGATTGTCGGAAAAGTGTGTTTCAAGATAACATCGCCATGCACCGTAATCGACATCTTCGAGCTTTCGTATTGTTATTGCACATTCCATAGTCTTATTCCATAATTTCCTTCCATATTTGGGTTGTTCGACAGTAGAATTTATGTAGGCGATGTATCTATATATTATGTAACAATAATTCATATTTTACTAAAATATTGAAGAATTTGTTAATCCTTTGCCTATATTTTCATTTTTTAAATAAATGTTGGAAGTATGTGTAATTTTAAGCTGCTATAAGCTGAGCATTATTATGTTATTAACATTAACATCATGGATTTTTAATCGTATTTTACCTTTCAGTACCTATTCCAGGCATCAGATAAAAAGTCATGCCATCAGGTCTAACAAAATTGCATGACTTCTGTCTATTCGAATATTGTGCATCCGAATATTGTTTCATCTCTAGTCGACAGACTAATGTGGCGCTATCGTTCTTGGTGTGAGTGACATTGGCATTGAAGATAAATGGTTCTGAAAATATTTTATTGATATAATCTTATTGTTTCTTTTAATCTTTTTCTTTATTTGCATTTAGAATTTTTAATAAAATATATAAGCAATTTAATAAAGTTTATTACTTTAAACACACAACTTCGCGCCCGAGAAAAGAAAGGAAAAGGAAGAAGTAGTATGTATATATATATATATATATATATATATATATGTATTCAGATTATATATTCCAATTAATATAATAGCATATGACATCATTATTGATTAAATTTCCGACTACTCTAAATTAAATTACAATTCTGTTACATAATGCCACTCTTTATAATTAATAATTTAATAAATTATATTTACAAACTACAATACAACTGTAAAACTGCGAAATTATAAAATATTCAAAATATTTAGCTTAAAATTTAAGAAAATTTATTTCAGATTTATAAGATCAGATATATCTTGAGTTGAAATAAGTTTTCATCAGAAAAAAATTTTTTTGTTTATAAAAGTCTTACCAGGACTGACTTCAATTCTGAATTCCTCTTCAATAGGTTCCAACATCCCGTCTACATTGTAACGAGCAAGCCATATACCTTTGTGTGCAATTGTAGCAACTTCTACTCGATAATAGCATTTTCCAAATAAGGCTTTTACAATTATGCCATTGGGATCCACTATTTGACAAATTTTTGATTGGTCTGATACTCGATTTGGTAATTCAATTATGCCTGGGGATCCGCGAGTCCATTGTATAACTGACTATTACAGAAATAATTTATTTTTCTTAAATTTTATATGAAAGATTGAAAAAGATATCTGTATACAAAGTAACAATATCATTATAATTAATATTTTTAGAAATACATATTTCATCATATAAAATTATATTTTAGAAATAACAAATTAATAAGTAATGTATTTTAGAAATAATAAGTTTTTATTAACTTAAAAGTCGCGAATAATTTTCTAAATCTAAGTAAAAACTGTCTAACTAAAAACTAAAAAACTAAAACTAAAAACTAATTATCTAAATCTAAATTATTTAAATCGACTAGAAATTTTTAGTCGAAAGTATATTGTATAAATTTTCAAGTACATGTTAAATAATTTTAGCAAAATCAATAAGTTTTAAACATCTATAATTCTCGGTAGTGCATTATAATATTTATCAAAGCAAATAGACGACGCAATAGTTTGAAACCTAATTACTATTGAAGATATATTTGTCGATAATTTTGTGCCAGCTATAATTCGTAATGAGATTAATTAATGCGTTTATGTGAGATGCTGATCATGCTAGTACATGATTATTTTACAATCTAATATATAGTTTCACATTTAATAAGAATATTTCTCTCGATGAGACCACTTTTTCATTATTTTGTTTAATACAAATAATACAAATCTTGTTATTAACGAGTATGTTCCTTTGTCTTATAAAATAAAAGTCAAACAACATAAAGTATATTATTAACATATACATATGTATACATCTATATATGATTGCTAGGAAGAAATGTATTAATTTTTAAATTTGTAGATTATTATAATCATAGGTATAATATTAGAGTAGACATATTGTGAAATTTATATTATTATTTAAATATTTTATATACTTTATATACAATAGATTGTTAAATATCCATTTTAGTTAATTTTAATATTTAGATGATACCAATAATTAGATGTGGGAGCTTTTAACTTAATTCAAAATCGTACAAATATAAATTTATAATAAAATTTTAATTTATTCTCTGTTCTTCTAATTAAGATACAAATTATTTTGTATTTGCATAATACAAAGATTCGAAATAGAAAAAGTTAAATAATAAAGTGTTAACAAATGCAATTCCACGAGTAAATTTAATATAATTTCATTTAGTTTAGTTTATTTTAATTTACTTTATTTAATTTTTATTAATTAATTATACTTTTTTACGATAATGATATTTTATATAAGAATAATAAAGGAAGAGGAATAAAATTAATTAATTTTGTATAAAGTAATATATTAATAAAAATATCAAACCCTATGTAAATATGTATGTAATAAAATATATCTTGTTAAATAACTATTATATGTATAATTTAAATTAAGGTTTATTATTGATCAGGTATTTTGCATGACTAAGAAACAGTGCTAACAGTGTATTGTATTACACGTTCCAATAATTTGATCAGATTTTGCGTAGCGATAGCAATGGTCAAGTTCCTAATGCATGTTAATTACACCTGCATCATGGGAATTCAGTTATCACGATCATAATCATATCGCACGGGTTACTGCAGTTTCCACAATTTGCTACAAATGAAATCATGAATAAATAATATTAAAAATATTAACAAAAAGAAGAAAAAGGCAGAGAGAGAGAGAGAGAGGAGGGAGAGAGAGAGAGAGAGAGAGAGAGAGAGAGAGAGAGAGAGAGAGAGAGAGTA